ATTCTTGTGTGCAGCCACTTTATCTAATGCTCCTTTAAAGCATTCTCGACTCTTAAATGTCTGTTTCGCACAGAAACTTCGTCCTTCGCTGTTTTTATAAGACATCCGCCATTTTAATACTTATATCAATCCCATGATGCTCCTTGACAATACTACATGACGTCATAATAATCAAAAAGGACAACGACTGCGCATGCGTGTGGGTCCATACGCCGCGCTTGCGCACAAGACGACAAGAGTTTATTTTTAAACCATTCTCGTGTTTGTCGTGGCATGTCGACCCTGTCAACGTTAATACTCTAACTAAACCCAGGAATCTATTCTTAGCAAAACCACCACTTATCGGGAGATGACCATTGTCTTGACCCTTATCCTGAAAATAATAACAGGACTAGGCGATAATTGAATTTTTATCGATAAATATCGATACGGGTTGTATGTCAAGTTATGAAAGCGAGTAAAATAAAACAGCAGGTGGGGGTTGATGAAAGGGAATGGGGTACAATATCGAGAAGAAAACAAGAATTAAACTGGTATGGACAACGTAGGGGTTTCTGTRATAAAACGCTTATATGATAAAATGATAAAATTTACAACATAAAAGATAGAACCTACTGACATGAAGGTTGTTTGAACAAGTTTTATTCTAACGTTTTMGAACGACTGTTCATCATCAGGACTTTTTAAAAAATGCGAAAAACCGAAGCTATGTAATCTAAAAAGGGACCGGAAGTCTTCACTGTCCTTTAGGACGTAAGTTCTTCGTCGAAGTCAGTGAGAAAGCCAGCAAGAGAACGTGTTTRTGTAGTGAGAGTAAGGCGCAAGAAAGTAATAAAAACAACTCGGCAAAAAAATGGAAAAACAATAGAAAACTATCAAGAATTTATCAATTAGAATAACGCTGACAAAAGCGGCACGATGATAAGCAAACTATGTAGGACTCGGCGTTCCTTGGAGCGAGCCAGACATGTASTTTACCAGTAGTTAAAATCAACCGATATTGGAGAGGACGTTTTGATAAATGGTTACCATATTGGACGTAGACGCTCTACATATCTCATTTAACCATCTTGATATGTGTGATAAACAAATGCCCCTGACGAGCTAAAAAATTTAGAACCTTCGGCCATAAGTTGTGAGAATCATAACGTAGTACTTTATTGAAACTGTACAATAATGTTAGTTTGAAAAATAATGGTAGGCAGGTCTGAGAAAGCCATGCATTATAGCTCTCTATCGAAAAATATCCGTGTCTCGTCTATTTTGATAGGTTTTCGTAGCGTTTCTGTTGTTTTTCGTTGTCAAGCAAATAAAAAACGATACAAAATACATCAAGGCTTTAATCTGTTTTATACGATGCAAAGTCGTGATTCTCTTCCGTTTGGTATCCTTATTAATGAGAAATATTTAAGCTCAAAAACACTTAAAAAAGGTCATTATTGCTGATAGCTTTTTTTAATAATCAAAAGTCTAGGCATTGCCAGGTTGTCTGGCTTTCGTTTTTCTGTGAAACACTTTAATGTGATTGCTCAAAATGAGGAAATTTAATGTTTATAACTCAAAAGCACTTCAGAGAGATTAATTTTCCAGATAGCTTTCTGTGATCAGATAATCTCAGGTCTAGTAAGAGCATTATCCAGTGATCTTGTGTTTGGCCTTTGTTTTTCAACAAAACATTTCTTCATTTTCCTTGCGAACATTTAAATTTCAACTTTGATTAATAAACCAACTTAAAGAAAATTTAGAAAATACCACAATGCATTGCGAGCTGCACCCAAAATGCATTGTAATCTACAACCCAAAATGCATTTCCAGTTCAGTTGCCAACAGATATTTTTTTTATTTCCGCAACACTACTTAGCAGTCGCTCGCAATTTTTCAATGTTATCAGTAAAATTCTAGCTTGGTGTCAATTAAAAAGTGTATTAATATACCAAAAGCATGCATTTTTGACCGAAGTTGAACTTTCAAGTGCCTGCTCGAAGTGCATTTCTCGAGTATTGGGGGTGAAAACATTGGAAGAATTTTCGATGGCAGTTTTAATTGTGTTTTTACATGACCAAAAGTTTAATAACATCTTCCGGAAATAGACAGCCATTTTTTTCCTGCAGTGCATTGTATAAACTATCTTTTTATTTCTGATTTTAGCTTTGAAATCAACGAGCTTATGGGAAACGGTTCGTGGATCGACCAATGCACCAGTCTTGGATCMAAAGGCACTCTTCAACTCTTGTCACTAGGGTAACGAGAAAGAGGAAATTATGAGATAAGCTTTCAAGGTTTTTGTTTTTAACTTTGCTTGTGTTCGCAGATGGCAAGAATGGCGCCTTGACGTACAGGGATGTCTACCAAGTGACCTCAATGCAAGAGGGGTAAGTACTGAGCGTGCGCGAGATAAAGAATGCTTTTCACGTGATCAGGTGAATATCACTTTACTAGAATACGGAAGGTCGTGGGTTCGAATCCCATCTGGAGCTCAGATTTTTTCTGAGATCCTAATTTATTAATGGTAAGATTTTTCATTTACAACATCACTTTACCTTGACCCATGTAATCACGTGATCCTCACGTGATCATCACATGATTCAGTTTATCCTCATCACGTGTCCACAATATATTCTCATGTCTATGACCACAATGTTCTGTTCACGTGGTCTTCAAATATTACTGCAGTGTTAATAATGTCTACATTATAATTCAATCACGTGCTGATCACGTGCTTGTATTGCAGGTAGCAGACCCTAACATCCTACCTGACTACCCGTACCGTGACGATTCATTGCCTGTTTACTATGCAATTGAAAGCTTAGTGCGAACGGTCGTCCTAAACAAATACGGTAAATACAGTGAATGAGATGTGGGCTTCCTGTGCTGACACAGGGTGACCACGGTCGAGGTTGCAAAACCGTCACGTAGGAGCAGAAGCTCTTTTTTCAGTGGTTTCGTCTCTTCTGGCGAAGTTCCGTAACCTCCTTTACAATAATGTTAGTTTGAAAACTAATGGTAGGCAGGTCTGAGAAAGCCATGCATTATAGCTCTCTATCGAAAAATATCCGTGTCTCGTCTATTTTGATAGGTTTTCGTAGCGTTTCTGTTGTTTTTCGTTGTCAAGCAAATAAAAAACGATAAAAAATACATCAAGGCTTTAAATCTGTTTTATACGATACAAAGTCGTTAGTCCTACGTGATTCGCTTCCGTTTGGTAACTTAAATGAGAAATATTTAAGCTCAAAAACACTTAAAAAAAGTCATTATGGCTGATAGCTTTTTTTAATAATCAAAAGTCTAGGCATTGCCAGGTTGTCTGGCTTTCGTTTTTCTGTGAAACACTTTAATGTGAATGCTCAAAATGAGGAAATTTAATGTTTATAACTCAAAAGCACTTCAGAGAGATTAATTTTCCTGATAGCTTTCTGTGATCAGATAATCTCAGGTCTAGTAAGAGCATTATCCAGTGATCTTGTGTTTGGCCTTTGTTTTTCAACAAAAACATTTCTTCATTTTCCTTGCGAACATTTAAATTTTAACTTTGATTAATAAACCAACTTAAAGAAAATTTAGAAAATACCACAATGCATTGCGAGCTGCACCCAAAATGCATTGTAATTTACAACCCAAAATGCATTTCCAGTTCAGTTGCCAACACATATTTTTTTTATTTCCGCAACACCACTTAGCAGTCGCTCGCATTTTTTCAATGTTATCAGTAAATTCTAGCTTGGTGTCAATTAAGAAGTGTTTTAATATACCAAAAGCATGCATTTTTGACCGAAGTTGAACTTTCAAGTGCCTGCTCGAAGTGTATTTCTCGAGTATCGGGGGTGAAAACATTGGAAGAATTTTCGATGGCAGTTTTAATTGTGTTTTTACATGACCAAAAGTGTAATAACATCTTCCGGAAATAAACAGCCATCTTTTTCCTGCAATGCATTGTATAAACTATCTTTTTATTTCTGCTTTTAGCTTTGAAATCAACGAGCTCATGGGAAACGGTTCGTGGATCGACCAATGCACCAGTCTTGGATCTAAAGGCACTCTGCAACTCCTGTCACTAGGGTAACGAGAAAGAGGAAATTATGAGATAAGCTTTCGAGGTTTTTGTTTTTAACTTTGCTTGTGTTCGCAGATGGCAAGAATGGCGCCTTGACGTACAGGGATGTCTACCAAGTGACCTCAATGCAAGAGGGGTAAGTACTGCGCTTGCGCGAGATAAAGAATGCTTTTCACGTGATCAGGTGAATATCACTTTACTAGCATACGGAAGGTCGTGGGTTCGAATCTCATCTGGAGCTCAGATTTTTTCTGAGCTCCTAATTTATTAATGGTAAGATCATTCATTTACAACATCACTTTACCTTGACCCATGTAATCACGTGATCCTCACGTGATCATCACATGATTCAGTTTATCCTAATCACGTGCCCACAATATATTGTCATGTCTATGATCACAATGTGCTGTTCACGTGGTCTTCAAATATTACTGCAGTGTTAATAATGTCTACATTATAATTCAATCACGTGCTGATCACGTGCTTGTATTGCAGGTAGCAGACCCTAACATCCTACCTGACTACCCGTACCGTGACGATTCATTGCCTGTTTACTATGCAATTGAAAGCTTAGTGCGAACGGTCGTTCTAAACAAATACGGTAAGTCCAAGGAATAAGATATGGGCTTCCTGTGCTGACAAAGGGTACCCACGTCAAGGGACAAAAACATCACGTAAGAGCAGAAGTTCTTTGTTCAGTGGTTTCGTCTCTTCTGGCGAAGTTCCGTAACCTCCTTTTGCATCACTAAGAGTCACGGGCTTCTTGTCTTTTTGCTGACCAAGAAAAGGGAAACTGTGAGCGAGGAAGAGCTCGTCACTATTCCCTAACGGCCAATATTACAAACCATTACAAACCAGAATCACAATAGGAGGATAAAAGAGTTGCCTGGGGAGGAAATCTTTCAAGGAAATGGTGTTGCTCAGTTAGCTGAGGCAAAATGTATTTATCATTGTGTGAACACTGTCCTAAAGACTGTGCTTTATTAAATGATAAATGATTTATAATCGATTAAAGGGACACTGTCAATGGATGACATGCGCAGTAACAGTCTCACCTCTAACGGACTTTGAAAGTATTACCTTCGAGGTAAATCATTTTGTGGTGCTTTTGACACACTTTGGAATATTCTAGATCTGTTTACGTTTACGAGCTGATTTATGTCGCGCCANTCCACAATATATTCTCATGTCTATGACCACAATGTTCTGTTCACGTGGTCTTCAAATATTACTGCAGTGTTAATAATGTCTACATTATAATTCAATCACGTGCTGATCACGTGCTTGTATTGCAGGTAGCAGACACTAACATCTTACCTGACTACCCGTACCGTGACGATTCATTGCCTGTTTACTATGCAATTGAAAGCTTAGTGCGAACGGTCGTCCTAAACAAATACGGTAAATACAGTGAATGAGATGTGGGCTTCCTGTGCTGACACAGGGTGACCACGGTCGAGGTTGCAAAACCGTCACGTAGGAGCAGAAGCTCTTTTTTCAGTGGTTTCGTCTCTTCTGGCGAAGTTCCGTAACCTCCTTTTGCATCAGTAAGAGTCACGGGCTTCCTGTCTTTTTGCTGACCAAGAAGAGGGAAACTGTGAGCGAGGAAGAGCTCGTCACCATTCCCTAACGGTTAATATTACATACCATTACAATCGAATTGCCTGGGGAGGAAATTTTTCAAGAAAATGGTGTTGCTCAGTTAGCTGAGGCAAAATGTATTTATCATTGTGTGAACACTCTACCAAAGACTGTGTAGTATTAAATGATAAATGATTTATATTCGATTAAGGTGTTTCGATCGTAATAAATAGCGTTTCGCGCGTATTTTTAAACTCCAACTACGTCGCAAATTTCGATTTCATTGCACTCAACCTTTCACAGAAGTAACAGTGATTATCGATAATTCTTGTTGATAAATTAATTTGACAAAAAGCGAAGCCATTTGGATAAACGATGCAAAATAAAAACACCTTCATATTTCTTCAAAATTAATTTTCTCGAAACTCATCGCAGAGATTGTAATAAAATTTTTAGAATCATTTCTTAATAACATAATTGATATACTGACGAAGTTTCAATGAAATCTTAACCTAAAATTTCGATTTGTTCAAATGTACATCATTTTGCTCAAACAACTCGAAATTTTCTTGCTGACAAGATGGTTACAATATTATTTTTAGTTCATCAAGATATTCTCACAGGCGACTCTGAGCTGAGACAATGGTGTATCGAACTTGCTTCTGATGGCAAAGATGGTTGTGGAATTAAGGTAATCACAGGTAGCCCAAGCTTAGCACTTATCGGCTTTTTTCTGAAGGTCTTATACACCCTTTTAATAAGTCCCGAGGTACTGAGTTCTCCGCACTTGACGTCAAATTTATTCTTTTGAAATGTTTACAATACAAARGGAATTCAAAAGAATAAATTTGACGTCAAGTGCGGAGAACACAATACCTCGGGACTTATGGGAAAACCAAAAAATTCAATAAAAGTTGGAAATCTCAATAAAATATATTCAAACTCGCACAATATGTTGTGCTTAATTTATTACACTTGCATACAGAATTTCAATCCCTACAGCGAAATAAACTTTATCATATACTATTATCTATGAANTTAAAGGGACACTGTCAATGGATGACATGCGCAGTAACAGTCTCACCTCTAACGGACTTTGAAAGTATTACCTTCGAGGTAAATCATTTTGTGGTGCTTTTGACACACTTTGGAATATTCTAGATCTGTTTACGTTTACGAGCTGATTTATGTCGCGCCAACTTGGAGTCATAAACTTGGAAACACTAGCCTAATGTTTTCAAGTTTACTCGCGCATGCGTGCCATTGACAGTGTCCCTTTAAGCGGGGGAGCGAACAAGAATTATAAAACGATTTTCTTGCTGACAAGATGGTTACAATATTATTTTCAGTTCATCAAGATGTACTCACAGGCGATTCTGAGCTGAGACAGTGGTGTATCGAACTTGCTTCTGATGGCAAAGATGGTTGTGGAATTAAGGTAATCACAGGTAGCCCAAGCTTAGCACTTATCGGCTTTTCTCTGAAGGTCTTATGGGAAAACCAAAAATCCAATAAAAGTTGGAAATCTCAATAAAATATATTCAAACTCGCACAATATGTTGTGCTTAATTTATTACACTTGCATACAGAATTTCAGCTCAATCCCCACAGCGAAATAAACTTTATCATATAATTATCTATGAAATACCCATATTCCTCCATTTCGTAAAGTTGTTGTTTTCACTAGTGAAAATAAAACAATCGAGATTTCTCTATATAGTGGAAGTAAGAAAAAAAAGGTATTTTACGAAATAATTTGCTTTCATATGTAATTATATGATAAACAGAATATTACGTGGTCGCTTGGAGATACGAATCTTTTCAACACTCGAAGATAAAATCCGTATCTCCGAGCGACCATGTAATATTCTGTTTATCATATATCCTCTATATCTTTTTTTCTTAATGTTTGTACTGATTGCATCTCACAATCTTCGCACAAATTTTTTTGCATTTTTCATTACTAATGCCACAATATAATTGCTTTAGGGTATCCCTGGAGACGGCTTGGTAACCGCTACTAATGACCTGGTTACAATGCTATCGTCCATCATATTTCAGTCGACTGCAGGAAATGCAGCTGTCAACAAACCGCAGTACGAAGAATATGGCTACATACCCAACTATCCCGCCATCCTCAAGGGATCTCCGCCGACTGATAAGGTAGTTCTGAACCATTGCTCCCGCGCATTGCATAGCGCGCTCACTCTACAAATTCGATGGGACCGGGCACTAGTGAATCAAAAATATGAAATTGTAAAATTTTGGTTTTCTAYAACGAAAAGGGAACGTTTCCAACAGAAGAAGATTTTGGAAAATAAACTTCAGAGTTTAATGTGCATTTTATCAAAGGCATCCTCGTACCCAGTTCCTTATCCCTTCGCTTGGGGTCAGGAAGGGGTAATGGCCTGGGGACGATGTCGTATCAAAGGAACAAAATATTCTACGTTCTTTCACTTTTTCTTCGGCATCAAAGCCCACACGAATTCTAACTGAAATTCACAMGTGGTCTCTGATTTCCCGTCAGGCCTGGCGAGAGGAGGGATGTATCCTGGAATGCCTTCCACCTAAAAACACSTCAATTGACATCATGATTGTCACCAAGCTCCTGTCCGAGCGATGTAACTACGGTCTTGCCAACCTTAGCGTCCAGTACCTCTACGAGCCAGATGACGTGAAGGCCTGGGAAAGGTAAACTAGTCAAACCTGTTATGCAAGTTTTAGAATTATGAATAATCGTAGGAGAACGGGTATCAATTCTGAAAACAGAACTTTTGTCAACGTTGCAGAACATGGTACTTGAGAACATTACCGGTTCAATTCAATTCAATTTCAGTTTTTTTTTTTTTTTCAATTCAATTCAATTTATTAATGTTTTATTCAATTTATTCATGTTTTATACATGTTTACAATGTTTATGATTTCATTGGCCTACAAATAGAAAAACTAATCGAGGTAGGCCATCGATTACAATTCAAATTAGAAAATGTACAGAGAAAATAATAGAATGTTAATAGACAACAACCGAGAGAATTGGGCTGAAATTTAGGCAAAAGTCAATATACAAACACTGGCAAAAAGACCGAGCATTCAGCAGTGCTGAAAACACGAATTTAAACACACAGTTGGTTAACCAGACTAGGTGTCGTTGTTGTTGCTGTCGATGTTGATGCTAATGTTGATGTTGTTGTTTTTGTTGCTGTTGTTGTTATCGTCGTTGTTGTTGTTGCTGTTATCGTTGTTGTTGCCATTGATGCTGCTACTAGCGTTGATTTTGTTGTTGTTGTTACAGTTGTCTTCGTTGTAGCTGTTGTTGTTGCGCTGTTGTCTGTTTGTCGTTTCTGTTGTTATTTTTGTTGCTGTGGGTGTTTTTGCTGTTGCTGTTGCTATATTGTCATTTTTCTGTTGTCGATACTTGTTGCTATTTTGTTTTCGTCAACGCAATCTTTAAGTAGTAACCAATACTCAAGGAACGCTTGTTCTCGTGTAGGTTCCATGACGATTTGAAGGGAATCTCACACACTATTCAAGACAACAATCGCAAAAGAAGCACAACYTACGATTATATTAATCCTGTACGAAAACTGTCCTGGTAAGTTTACGAAACTCAGGCGATGGTCGTGAGACAATTCGCTCTGCAAAAATCGAGAGTGTAAACGGGCCTTACTGAGTGCTATGTTTTATTGCTCCAAGAAATTAAACAAGTTGGCTTTATATTTGGAAATCAAGAACTTACTCTGGAATTTTAGACTGAAATGGTTCTTATTTAAAGCAAGCAGCAATATATAATATGATTTAGATTCTTAAATTTTAGGTTCTTTTACGCGGAGTTTTACTAATTTTCCTCCCTCTCGTTTTCTTTCTCCTTTTCATCCATTCATTTGTTCTAAAAGTTCACATTTCTTTTTTTTTCAGATGCATATTGTATTTATATATAAGGAATATTGAAATGCATTTCAAAAATTGCATTCCACAACTACACTGTTGCGTTCTAGAACGAATGATCARCCACCAAACCCAGCACACTCAAGAAGCACCATTGAATTTCTACGCAGGTAGAATTAGAACATACTTATTTTAATGAGTTTATAATCCCTACAATACTATTCACTTTGAATTTAAGAGCAATTTTTTTCGATTCTTTCATTGAATTAGTTTTTTACATGCCGAACCTAAGTCAGTGCAAATAAAGCGGAATCCTATGAAACGCTCAATGAGCGCCAATGAATGCTATCAAACTCGGTACAGTCAACTCTCGCTATTACGGACACCCTGGGAACCGTAATTTAGTGTCCGCAGTAGCGAGGGTCCGTAGTAACGAGAGTTACTTTCATTGATTTCTTTGTATTTTTCGCCGGGGATTCAGTATTTTACTGT